ACATAAGCGAAAGCCTACATGTAGATAGGAACCAGAAGAAATGAAATACAGAGTCATTTTTCAATTTCTGAATTCATTTAATTTCCTAGTTTCGCTGACAAGCAAATTCAACAACGGACAAATCGCCGACAAAATAAGGTTATTACCAACGATTTCTACACGAAACTCGCCGTAAAATCTAGTTGATACAAAGCTAAGAGGTTAAATAAATAACCAACTTTCATTTCAATAGTTTGATTTACATTTTCTGCCTGAAACACAGCGTTAATAGATTAATACTTACTCACGTTCGCTCAGGACGGCAAACCTGACGTTTTGACGTCCTAAGCTTTACGTGGACAACGAGTCTAGCATGCGCAGTAGCGCGGTAAGGTGAAATTTTACTTCCGGTCGTCGTCCTCTGGGCTCGTCGTCGTCGGTGCTTAAGGTCCCTATTGATATGACAGCTCGCGCACAAAGTGAGAAGATATGAGTAGACTATGAAGGCTTGAAATTATATGTAAGAAAGACTGTGGCCTGACCGATTGGCGGATGTAGCTTGTGATATTAATTACAGGATAATACCGATTCGATTTTCTCCCCAGGCGCCATTTCATGCTTTGTTTTATCCCAGTACCAATCGGACTCTGCTCTAACAAGAACGTACTGTTCATCTGGTGGCACGGCCGGTAGAAACTCACGTTTNACAACCGTAACACTTCCTCACATTTCCCCAAATTGTTCCCTTTTCTTTTCTTTTGTCCGCCATGTTGAATTTTCACGCGGGTTACCGTTGTACACTCGTTCCCAGACTCTTGTTCCCGGTTCCCCGTTCCCCGTTCCCCGTTCCCAGTTACCACTTTTAGTAACATCCGGCAATAAGGTGTATACTTTAATGTTTGTTTAATTAATTAATATCAATTAATGAATTAGTCTTAAGGCAAGAAAGTGATTGGGGAGGGTAGGTGCCCTTGTGCACTACGTAAAAACGTGTATCACCTACCTTACTGTAATCATAATATCACGAAGCCATATGTTTGATTTAGGAAACCTCTTGTCCTCCTTATGGTACTATTCTCTTTAGAACAAAACCAATTTTCCCTAAACGCATGCGCATATTAGCGTTCGTGCCGACTATATATTAGGTGAAAGATGCATTTCATTTGAGATCACACGACGCGAAAATACCTAATACGTTGAACCTAATACGTTGAATTAAGTACATGAAAAGTTCGGCGTCTGAATTAGTTAAGAATGGCTATTTGAATTTGGAACGGCTCAGCCGTTCTTCCCGCCTAGCTCAGCCGGGAATGTCGGCTTTGGAACGGCTTTGATTCAGACGTCAAACTTGTCATGTGCCGAACCTAATGCATACACCTTGCCTGATGCCGCTGATGTTTCGATGTGTTTTGGTTCAAACTAAATTAAGTTCGGTGAATTAAGTTCGACGTCTGAATCAACAGGCGTACTTTTGATAATTTGGGTCGGTTCAAATTCAAATTAAGTTCGGCTCATGAAAAGTTTGGCGTCTGAAATGGGCCTTAGTTACATGTAAAACAAGTAAATTTGTGACAAAAGAAACTTCGTTATTATTGCCGCAGACTCCGTGGTACTTACTGAAACCTCCAATTAATTTCGTCAGTTGATGAGGTGACTCGCTCACCGACGTGGGATATAATTTTGGTCAAGTAAAGATCTCTACCTTCAATACTTCTCGTTGAAACGTTCCTCAATGCTATTACTCGATAGCACTTTCCCGCGTTAGTTACATGTAAAACTAGTAAATTTGGGACAAAAGAAACTTCGTTATTATTGCTGCAGACTTCGTGGCACTTACTGAAACCTCCGATTAATTTCATCAGTCGATGACGCGACTCGCTCACCGATGTGGGATATAATTTCGGTCAAGTAAAGATCTCTACCTTCAATACTTCTCGTTGAAAAACTCCTCAATTTTATTACTCGATAGCATTGTGTATTAGTTTGATGTGGTTTTATTGTTTACACCAACTCGGCTGGCAACAGAATTAGAACGCACTATTCCGTGATTCGACGTGACTATTTGATAATTAGATTAATTCTTGTTTATCGGTCAAAATCGTTCCTCTTCGACTTTTCAGCAGATATTTAACTTTTATATTCCATTCACCTCCAGCAGTAAGTTAAAAAAATACACATCTTTCTTATATTGTCGTGGAAACGAAGGTATCTTGTTGCATACATAGGCGAGGAAAACAAAAGTATGAAATTACAAACGTTGGCGTGAAAAGTAATGGTACAAAGTGAACGAAACTCAAGATAAAATACCACAATAAATTTAAAACTGTCTTGACAAACGGTAATTGTAAGTTATTTTTGGGCAAAACACAAACATGAAACATACAGACCATACACACGGCTAAGATTATGTCTTATCAAGTTTTTGTCCGCTCATACTCTGCAAAGGGGAAAAGGCCTAGTTGACTACCAAGGGAGAGAACAGCAGGGCTGAGGAGGACCTGTCTGACTACTGCAGCAGAGCCATAAATTACACTCTGCACTATCTGAGATTGTCTCACTAGTTTTTTTTTTTTCTTCTTCTTCTTTTTCTTTTTTTTTTTAATTAACTTTAATTGTGATTCACACTACTTACAACACTGGTACGTCTACTTACGCAATTTACAACAGTAATACAACTACAAAAGTCCATTACATTACCGACAAACTTTTTATACAATTCAATTACTTACTACTTACACTACTTACATTACAATGCAGTTACAGGTGTTACTTACAATAATACAATTTGCATAACTTACTCTACAAAAACAATACGGTTACTTATTTAACTTACGATACCAATTCTTACACTACTTACAAAATAATATGATTACTGATGCTACTTACATTCATATTATAGCAATGAGCAACAAAATAAAAGATACATTCATATTAAAATAAAAAAAAGCAATAAAATAAGATGGGCATAATTAATTATATTGGAGTGAGCACCCATTTCTTTTCAAAGACGTTTTCCTTGTTGAAATCTTAAGTTTCGATTGCATTCCTTGAATTTTATGAAGTGTTTGGCTTCTTCTGCAGTCCCATAAAATAAGTTTCTAATTACTACGAAATAGTTTAATAACTTTGATAAAGGGCGTTGTTTGGATAAAACTCCAAATAAAACGTTTTGTGCAGGAAGATGGATTGGCTAATTCGATAGATGGTACCAGTACGATTCAAAATCAGTCTAGAACGTTTTGGAGTGAGGGCATTCATAGAAAAGGTGATATAAATTCTCAGGTTCATCATGACAAATAGTACATGCATCATTAATTCTAAATCCAATTTTGCGTAGTTTGCTGTAGGTGAAGAGAATAGAATTAATTACTTTGTATTGGAAGGCCTTGGTAGATGACTCAAATGCAACCAAATGTGGTAATGAGAAGATTTCTCTAAATTGTTGGGTTGTGAAATTAAAATCACTCTTCGATTTGTGGATAATATTAGGAGGTTGAGCTTTTTTTGAAACCAGCAGCGAGTAATAATCTTTTGATTTTTTGTCTTTAATATCGAAGATTTTATTTCCAATTATAAGTGATGGAGATATGGTTGATGCATCCAGGCTGATTTCTTCTAAATGTGAAGGTTTAGAATGACGGAGGTCCGCCCATTGCAGAAAATTGCTTTTGTCAATTTTGTTCGAAAAATAGTTACAGGAGTCTACGGTATTTAAGTTAAATAGAAGATCTTGTATGTAAATGATTCCCGACTTAAAGTAATTTTTGAGTTATTTTTTTTATTGAGTTATTTTTTTTACAAAAAAATACCTCTTAGTCGGCGCGTCGAGTATGTTACGGGTCAATG